GTCCTCAACAGAGGGCACTGAGGGACATTTTGGTTCTCACTGTGCCTCCCATTAGTGAATTTAGATCTCTGCTGATACTGAAAGATCAGATCTCTTTGTACATAATAGGGGCAAAACTTGTTATGTAACACATAGAGTGTGTGGAACCATATGCTCACATATGCACATTAGATCATGATATTAAAATGTTCTTATGAACTGTGGTTTTTTAGTATGTTTATAAGTAGCTCCAGCAAATTAACCTCTGTGAGGCATAGTATCTTCAGTTGTTTTGAAATGTAAATGAACGAATAACAAAGCTATTGGTACCTAATATATGCTCATTAAATGTCAAATGTCATTAAACCAAAGAGTAGTACCTTGCCTAGAATACTGACTTGATCAGTAAATGTCTGCTGAGTGACTGGATGCCTCAGACTTGCAGATCTGAAGCACCCTGGTGTCTCAAGGGAACTCATACCACCCCAGTGGTAGAAACAGTAGGAGTGCCATGGGAGCAGGATCAAGGGTTTGGGCCCACTGCTGGAAAGGCCTATGTTCTTGGCTAGAAAGTTTGGTCTCACTCTGTGAAGCAGTCAGGAGTCTGAAGTTTTTGAACCAACACTGTCAACAAGTTCCTGGAGAGATTAGAGAGGATGGGGTTTAGAGCTGATGGGAAGGCACCAGCCTTCAACTCAAATATTCTGAGAGGAAGAAAGCCAGCAAGGGCGGGCATGACTAGGGTGCTTATGAGTTAGAGGTGAGGATTTGGAAGAGTCCATGCTTTGGTGCCAGTGGTTGCTTTGTTGACATTCAGGGGCTAGACTTGGGAAAGGTTTGGAGAAAGGAAATGCTAAGCTAACTATTAAATAGAACTAACCAGTACTCAGGTTACAGAAGCAGGAGGATTGCAAATTCAAGGGTAGCTCAGACCAAGTTAGCACTTCCTTAGCTCAAAAACAAAATACCAAAAAAGTAGAGGTGGGCTCCAGAGGTAAAGTGCTTGCTTAGTAAGTGCCAGGTCCTAGATTCAATCGTTAGTACCACGCAGAAAAAGAAAGGAAAGGGAAGAACTTGGCAAATGAATGGGTACCCAGTGATGCTGTTTTTAGCTGGTTACTGCTGGCATTGAATTGTGATTATATAGTGCACATTACTTTAACTCCTAACTGGCCTTCTAATTTGTTGGGGGTTTTTGCTTTTTTGGGTTTTTTTGTTTGTTTTGTTTTGGTTTGGTTTTGGTTTTCTGAGATAGGATCTCACTCTGTGGGCCAGGCTAGTCTGGAACTCAAGATTCTCTAGCCCCTACCTCCCAAGTACTGAGATTATAGGTATGTATCACTATGCCCAGCTAACTTTGTTTCGTTTCCTGTTTTCTTCTGGTTCTGGGAAAGTGAGTCCAGCCTCTTGCATGTGGCATGCTAGCCACGTGCTCTACCACTGAACTACAACCCAGCCCTTCTAATTTTGAACCTTACTCCCCTCCAGTCCTTTCTTCATGCTGCATATTGCAGTATCAGTAGCCTCAAAGATGCATGTTAGGTCATGTCACTTTGCTGTTATGACAGTAGATGGCCAGTGGCAGTACAGTTCCAACCGAAAGGCCGGCGCTGTCCAGACAGCAGAGCAGGGCTTTGAGCCTTCACACCGTTGGGTGATCGCAGCTGAGTCTACCGAAGGAATCAAGAGACAGCACCAGTGGGAACAGACAAATGATAGAAGCAGACAGGCTCTAGGAGAGGAACCAAAAGAGTCATTAGTCAGTGTTCATATTTACTCATAAGTTCATGTTTATGGAATAAAGCACAATCACAAATTATAAAATACCTCTGAAAGGATATACTACAACACCATTTGCCTTCTGAGGAGGATTCTAGAAGAGGAGGTAGGAATGGGCATGTTGTTTCCCATAATGCACCCTTTTTAAGCCTGTTGGAGTATGTACATAGTTACGTAATGAGCTGGGTGATGTGGATTCCACATATTTAAATTAGAATTTAAAAAGCAGCTTCTCCATTCTAGCTAAAAGCTGCATCTCAATATATGGGGCATTCAGGAAATAAAAGGTAATCTTGGCAAATTACAAAGCAGAAAATTACCAACATCATCTCTGACTTTTGTACAGCAAAATACTTTCACCTGCTGTCTCATTTGATCTGTCTCCCCTCCTAGATTCTGAGATGTGATCTAGGCCTTCTGTTACCAGTTCAGCATGGTCAGTTGGTAATAGGTGAGACAGAAGTCCAGGAAATCGTGTTGACCTGCACCTCATAGTTTTGGGGGACATAGAGAAAGGGGTAATTCTTCTGGAAAATAGCAAGCAATATTGTGAGATGCTGCTGGGGGCTGGGATAGAACGTAATGGTATAACACTTGGCTAACAAGCATAAGAATCTGGACTTTGATTTCCAGCACACCTCCTTCCCACCTCCCAAGAAAGAAGCTCTTGTAAGTGGAGCCATAAAAAGTGTACATAGAAAAAAATCAGCTTTCCAATTTAAATTTCTGCATACAGAGGTAAATTCCACACCCCATAAAATTTTGTCTCTAAGTTACAGAGATTTGGTACTATGGAATATTTCATTTGAATTAGCTTTCAGACTCTTACTTCCTTTTAAAGTCTTTTCACACATTGATTTTCTGTAGAATGCAAGCAATGATTGGCATAGTTCAAATGGGATTGTCAGTAACATGTGTATTTGTAAAGACTGAGTAAATAGCCAGAAATGAAGAAATAACATGCCCAGGGAAGAAATTCTTGGCACACCTTTGAAGAGCCTTAAGCCTGTAGGAAGCGAAGTATCCCAGGAGCGAGAACCACTGAGGGACGTGGCACAGCATCAGAGGTACAGAAGCCTTTCACATGGATGCCTTCCTGGTCGAAATGAAATCAAATGCTGGCATGACCTAAGTTTCTGTCCTTAACTAATGAAGAGGAAAACATTCATTCTTCTCCTTGGAGAAAGACAGAGATATTCACACATAATCTCTGTGGTATTGAAACACTTGTTCTGTTTTGTTAAACAGGACTCTGAAACTCTTGGATTTCATGGTAAAGCTTAGATAAATATTTCATATAATATCTCAAAATGCAATCATTTATAATAATTTCAGTGCTGTGATCTCTATTTGTTTTCAGATTAGAAAAGCAAACATTTCTATGCTGATTTATTTCTGGGAGCTGACAATTGAGCTGACAATTCATAAGGCTTATCTTTATAAATAAATTAATAGTATCATAAGGAATAGCTCTACTTAACTTTGATTTTATGTCTCTTTAGAGGGAAGTGATGTTAAAAGACCTCTCTTTCATTCTTACTGAAGTGTAAACCGTTTACTCTGCCAAGTTTAAGTGCCTGTGGACGTTGGCACTCTTACTCTGCAGCCTAGAGAGACTTTCTCGGGAAGCTCCCACTCTGGGTTCCACTCTGCAGCAGGAAACAAACCTGCCTCTGAGTTGTTTCTCAGACTTCTTTGTTGGCATACTATTTTGATAAAATGTTCTTCTATTTACTAGAGCTGTTGATACGTGGATGTGCCTGGCAAAGTTGTGCAGAATTTAAATATATATTTTTTAATCTATTTGAAATATCTATCCACCAACTACCTACTGTGCTATACTCAGCATTCTCTTGAGTGTGTGGCAAATTTAGCATCCAGTTATTCAAAAGCAATTTGTGATACTTCCATGTGAATGCAAGACACTGAGATATAGCATTGAGCTCAGACATGATTCTTAATCTCATGGAGCCTTTTTGAATGAGGAAGAGAGATGATAAAGTCTAAAGTAATAATAGTAAAATGCTTATAGGTTATGAAAAGACCTATGAAGACAACTGAGTGAGAAATAGCAAAGGCTGTCATGACTTCAGATTGGATGATCAAGGAAGGCTGACCTGAAGACAGAGAAGGCCTAGCAATATAAAGAACACTCTAAGGGGAAGGACAGGGAAACTAAAGCTTTGTTGAGGGGCAAAGATTGATGTTATCTTATAGGAATGTCCAGTGGCCAGTGGATATTCAAGATAGCAGAGTGAGAGAAAGCTGTAGGAAAGAGGGTTAAAATGAGAGGCAGGATCTCATAGGTTAGGTTTCATGTTTGTATTTTAGTTCCAGGTTCGGTAGGGAGCCTTGAAAGCTCTAAGCAGGGGAGAAATTTGCTCCAATTTCCTTTTTATTTCCAGAAGATAATTATGGTAGCTTTTTGAAAAAATGGAGCAAAAAGAGCAAGGGAGCAGGATGAGAGATTGGTTAGACTGTTGTGTGGACAGGAGAAGACCATAGCTGGGACTACGCGTGCAGATGTGGGGATAAAGAGAGGAGCAGCTCACAGTATATTTCAGAAATGGACAACTGGACTCCTGGCAAATTGTTGCATGGCAGAATTTGGGAGGAAGAAAGTTTCTGATGGTGCCACCTGTGGGGAAGATGACTGACAGAGCAATTTTGAAGGAGAAAGTCAGAGGCTCTGAACTGGGAGATATGAATACAAATGGAACCTTCAATGTGCCACAGTTCACCTGCCAGAGGTAGTGTGAATCAGTGCCTCACAGGTCAGGAGTCCAATTGAATAGCTTGTTGCTCTGGAAGCTTCCAGGAGGCAGTAGCTGGGCATGGGGCAGGGGAGTTGAGTAGTGGAAACTTGCACTCCACAGTAAAGTCTTTGAAGAGGCACAAGAACAGGGCTCCCAGCTCTTCCTGCTCTTTCTTTAGGGTCCTCAAGTACAAGAGCAGTTACAGTGACTTGCCTTTCACCCCACTTCCATTTCCCCAGGTCAAGTCTATCATCTCCTGTGTTCCCAGGAATTTCAATGAGAGTTTAGGATTAAGACCAGGGTGTCCCCATGGCACCCTCCCAGATCCCAACCCTTCATTTGAGATGTCTTCAAATATTTTTTAGGAGAATCTCACAGTACCACCCCCACCCCTTCTCCCTTCCACACAATCCCGTATCTGTTTTTTGTGTATGCAGAGATTATGAAACACCTGAGTTTACATGTTTCCATTTATTTCCCATTTAGGTTTTATGGCAGGCACACAAAGAAATCCTCAGATGTCTCAGTATGGAACTCAACAGACAGGACCATCCATGTCACCCCATCCTTCTCCTGGGGGCCAGATGCATCCTGGAATGAGTAGCTTTCAGCAGAGTAACTCAAGTGGCACTTACGGTCCACAGATGAGCCAGTATGGACCCCAAGGTAAAAATAAGGGGAAAGGGGTTCCTCAAATGAATTGTGTAGATGGTAGAGATTTGTTATATACTAGCCCTTCATGGTTTTAATATTATAAGCATATTTTAAGATTGCATTGTTTTGGTACCTGATAGATTATGAGGTTAATGCAAACCCACAGTCCTTTAGATGCCCATGATTGTGGGGCGAGAATAATCATAGTCACTACTGTTCATTAACCTTTACACATGAGGCACTGGGGAGTGTTAGTGTGAGTGTTATTAACAAAAGAGTTGGCCCTGTCCCTATAATGTGGTTCCAAATGCTTATGGAAAAAAGAATACAGCCTTGTCCTCAGAAAGTTTCTGATTAAAACTTGGGGTTCATCATGTGAGATTCCAATTTTGCCCCTCCCCTTCAGTAGTCCCCTTTAGGATCAGTAGTTACCTACTTAGCAGACTGTACCCTACCCTATACAGCCCACCAACCTGCCTTCAGGGTATACATCAGGTGCTTCTCCTGTTGTCACTGTCCAACTCTTGGAACAAAGTCTATTGTACATGCATGTCTAAACAGGAAAATAAGGGAGAAGTAGGAAAATGATTGGAACTGTGCCCCAGGTGCACTGTTTAATTTCACCCTCCTGGAAGCTGATGTATGGTTCATCAGACACATAGAATCCTTTTATCAAGATTTTAAACCTGATAAACGTGTGTGTGTGTGTGTGTGTGTGTGTGTGTGTGTGTGTCACTTTTGGCAGTACAACATTTGAGTTTAGCACCTTTTTTACTTGTTTACTTAAGTTAGACACTAATGGATAATTTAGAGACTGAGATGATCTGGCATAAGTCCCAGAGTTTCCTCATTTCTGATAACACCAGGAACATTCCAAGCAAAGAAGATGAGTGTTCATTAGGACAGTGTCAGGAATGCTTTCCATCTGCCAAGCCAGGCCTGACCATGGAAGCCTGGTGTCTACTGCTAGGGAAGCTTGCTACTTAGCAAGCCACTCCAGGGGCCCATGGTGAGGCTCCCAGAACTTGAACAGCCCTGGAAGAAGCACCTGTGGTAACTAGCAAGCATCTAGGAAGCCTAAGTAGTTCTGTTGGTTTTTCCCTGGCATCTCTCAGAATCCTGATCCTTCTGTTTACAGTACTTTACAGTTTGAAAAGTGAGTTGCCAGTGTATTGTCTTGTTTTGAAGATCTTTCTCTAAAGGATTTTAAGCATTTTAAATGCTACCAGTGTAGCACTGTTATTTTCCAACTAATGCAAAATACCCAGACATAGCCTTTTGTCCATGTGCATGTTGCCAGAATGCACAGAGATTTTTTTTTTCCACGTGGTTCCTGTCAAACCATGTCATAAACAGTTTTCTATGTTGTTAACTCCACCAGGCCTTAGGAGCTTAGTCCCAGCTGACAGTAATCATCTGCCTGTCTGTGACCAGATCCAGGTAGCATGAGATAGCTGTTTGTCACTGAATTAAGGCAGAGCCATGAGTCAGGCACCCATGGAGCCCACCTGCCCACTTCCTTCCTCACCAGGCATTGAGAGGAAGGGGTTCTTCAAAACCAGGTTCCTTAGCTGCCATGGAGAGATGGCAATGGTCACAGAAAGCTCTAAAAAGAGCAATTTATAAATTGTGGTAGACACAGAAAAAGCAGACTTTTCCTTGAATGTAATTGGAGGCAAGACTGCAGCCCTATTCTCAGAATTGGAGCTGCTGACGGTCTGGGCCTTAACCCAGAAAACCATAAGGGCTTCGTTAATCTTCAAAGTTGACCTCTATACTCCTAAATAATTTCATCTTGGACCCTTTCCTCTGTTCTCAGTAGAGCACTTAGCCTTGGACTGTCTGATGAGTCTTTTGTGAATAAACTTCACACTTATGTAGGAGTTGAGAGCAGGGAAGGTGATTTCTCTGGAAGGGATTTCCTTTTTTTTTTTAAATGAATAAATCCCTCAGCTTTCTGGAATTATCCAATTTAAAGATTCTTCACTTCAGAGCATTGACCATGGGAGAAATTTCATCCAAATTGCTGCATGTCCTTAGAACATTGCTTATTCTTTGAATTACTTTTTCTCTGGAAAATGAGATGATTCCAGTATATTAACTTGGAAGTTGCTTCCAGTATCAATGTTCTCTGAGCCTAAGTTTTGCTTCAGTTCTGGGGACTTTTATATTAACACAGTTAGAGTCACTAGATGCCCACATAACAATGAGATTGTATCATCAAGAAGGCTTTTTTTTTCATTTTTCTTTTATTATTCATATGTGCATACAAGGCTTGGTTCATTTCTCCCCCCTGCCCCCACCCCCTCCCTTACCACCCACTCCGCCCCCTCCCTCTCCCCCCCCAATACCCAGCAGAAACTATTTTGCCCTTATTTCTAATTTCGTTGTAGAGAGAGTATAAGCAATAATAGGAAGGAACAAGGGTTTTTGCTGGTTGAGATAAGGATAGCTATACAGGGCATTGACTCACATTGATTTCCTGTGCGTGGGTGTTACCTTCTAGGTTAATTCTTTTTGATCTAACCTTTTCTCTAGTACCTGTTCCCCTTTTCCTATTGGCCTCAGTTGCTTTAAGGTATCTGCTTTAGTTTCTCTGCGTTAAGGGCAACAAATGCTAGCTAGTTTTTTAGGTGTCTTACCTATCCTCACCCCTTCCTTGTGTGCTCTCACTTTTATCATGTGCTCATAGTCCAATCCCCTTGTTGTGTTTGCCCTTGATCTAATGTCCACATATGAGGGAGAACATCCGATTTTTGGTCTTTTGGGCCAGGCTAACCTCACTCAGAATGATGTTCTCCAATTCCATCCATTTACCGGCGAATGATAACATTTCGTTCTTTCAAGAAGGCTTTTTATGAGTTTTTTTGAAGGTATACATACTTACATGGATCCACTGTGGAACCAAAGTGATGTTTTCCACACCCACTGCTCTCTGGTGTTAGTGTGTCCCTTTGCCTAGTGCCTTCATTTGCCCTTTTCTCCTTTTCCATGTGGCATAAGCACCACCATCCACCCAAGTGTGCCCCACCACACACACACATACACTCACACACACACCTGGTACTAGTTGCCATGAGACTAAAACCAATGTCCTGGTTCTGCAGATGTTCAAATATAAACCAGCTGTCTTATTGCATCAAGGACCAAATAACAGGACATGGTACGGGCCTTGTGGACTGGTCTAGTCAGGAGCTCTTACCTTTGTACTTCTTTTTAATCCTTTTAAATAGGGGCCCAAAATCTCCTCACAACTCAACTAAGTACACAAATTATTAGTAAAATACTCAATTTGCATCTTCATATTACAAGATTTACATCTCTGGAAATACACATTCATGCAAAAATAGAGCATTGCTCTCATTCCCAGTCTGTTCCTAACTTGATGACTTTCTACCAAGGTTGTTCATTTGTTTGGAGAGATCTCGGAGGAGGCTATTTCGCAACCGTTTTTTGCGAACCATTTTATTGTCAGGTGCAGCATCTCTAGGATTGTTGTTGGTAAAAACAACCAGCATTTATTAAACACATCACTATGTCCAGAGCCTATTTTGAGGATCTTTTGCCTATGCTCTCTGTTCAGCCTCACAACATGCTAGAAGATAGGTACTTCATCAAGGAAGAAACTAAGGTACAGAGCAGGTAAAAACTTCCTCCAGGGTCCAGTGACTGAACTCTGTCCAGGCTAATTGACCCATTCTCTTAATGAGTGGGGAGCCTTTGAGGGAATCCCCAGCTTGCAGATGAGAACACCAACTCCCTGAGAAGTTGTCTTTCACCATGATCCCCAGGTAGTAAGCAGGGCCAGGGTTCAACTGAGGGAGAGTGACCACAGAAGCCTTTCAGTGTCACTGGCTGGTCATTCCCAGGCCTCAGTGGATACCCTTCTCACTATGCTTCATTCATTAAGCCACTAGAGAGACAAAGACAAAAGACTAACTACCTACTTGCCTCCAAGGAATATTTAGGAATACAGGCATGGAGATATGTCAGAAGTCCTCAAGATTAAGAGAGACATTCTGGAGATATGACTCAAGTGGTAGAGCCCCTGCTTTGTGAGCACCTGCTTTGCAAGTACGAAGCCCTGAATTCAAACCCCAGTCTCACCAGAGAGAGCAAAAGAGAAAGAAATATTCCTACGAAATGAAAGAAGGGAGAGAAATGTGAGGAATGTATATTAATACAATAACATCTGAACTATTAAATATACAAATAAGATGAAACCAACCTAAATGGGGGTTCGCGTTCAAAAATAGAAAGGAATCGTGTAATCAACATTAGTTGTTAATATTGAATCTGGAGAGAACTGAAATCAATTTTATCTTCACAGCCATTTTATTTCTTTAGGAAAAGATTCTGTCTTTTTGTTTGAGTTCTCTAGAAAAGCTTCTGTCACACTAACTGTCCATAAATACTTTTTTTTCAGGGGGGAGGGGGTCATTAATTCCAAAAAATAAGGGTCTGGCCTTCATTCTGTTACAAGTAAGCAATATTAGCTTAGGGAAGTGACAATAATTCTGAGTTTAGATTCTCGACAATTATCATTTACTTGTATAATAGCATCTGGGAGTCTGTGCAGCACTACGAAATACAGCTACCTGGCTTATACACTGACACGGCCCTGAGTTTATATGCCTTCGATTTTATAGTGTGTGTTTTAGGAAGCAGACAACTTTCAAGTAGGTAAGTCTGATGAGCTTACTTTGTTACTTTGTTAAATGTGGTTTTCAGAAAGGTATAAAAGTCTTTCTCTAAAATAAACTGGATGCCATCTGAAATCTTTCCCTTCATTTCTCATAAATTCAACAAAGGCAAATTTCAAATGATACTCATTTGAAATGAATGCAGTTCCAAAATAGTGAATTATGTAGTGATAATCTTGCAATTATTTGGGTTCCAGAGGAACAAGGTATAAATGTCGAAATTGTTAGCTACTTAAGAGTCTCCTATGGGTGCCTCATGTCACCATGACCCAGAATTCCCCACTCCACTCTTGGAAGTCTGGATCTCAG